GAGGTCTGCTCTCCTTCTGCCGGCCTCAGCCATGCCTTCGTAGCCCGTCAGAAGCCGTCCTCTGCTCCACGCGTCCATTTCGGCACACACTTCACACGGTTCGTGGCCCCATGGGGAGATCCACCGAGGGCCCCGGCAGCAGGGCTCGCATGCGGTTCCCCGCCCACCCCAGGTCCATTTTGGCACACCCCTCACATGGTTCGTGGCCTCCTATGGAGCTCCACCGAAGGCCCCAGCGGCAGGGTTCGCATGCCGTTCCCCGCCCACCGCGCCTCGACCCCCCCTTCGCCCCGCCTCAACCACCCCGCCCTCTAGTGCAGGCGTTCGACATCGAGCTGCCCGACGAGGAGGCGCCAGCGGCACCGCCACCCCCTTCGGAGATTGCTTGGCCGAGCGAGAAGGGACGGGAGCGGAGGCGGTGGGCCAGAGGGACAGGAGGGGGAGGAGGCTTCTCGGAGGAGGGGATGCTGCTGCTGGTGATGTTGATGCTGATGATGATGATGCTGATGATGTTGATGCTGATGATGATGGTGCTGCTGCTGGAAGTGGTTTTGGTGTTGGTGTTGGTGATGATGCTGATTGTGTTGATGATGCTGGTGGTGATGATGATGACGACGGTGACGACGGCGATGCTGGCGACGGTGATGTGTATGATGCGGGCGATGATGATGTTGATGATGACGACGATGATGACGATGCTGTTGCTGATGATGTTGATGGCGATGGCGATGATGATGATGCTGATGATGATGGTGATGATGATGATGATGCTGATGATGATGATGCTGCTGCTGATGCTAATGATGAAAGTGGTGGTGGTGGTGATGATGATGAACGTGGCGTTGGTGGTGGTGATGGTGATAATGATGGTGCTACTGACAATGATGTGGATGATGCTGAGCATTGTTATGATTAGGCTTATGCTGATGTTTCTGATTATATATGATGTCGAGTACGATTATGATGATGTTGATGATTAGGATGAGGATGTTGATGATGATAGTTTTGTTGGTGATGATGATGACGACGACGGCCACCACGACAACGATCACAGTGACGACGACGATGGCGATACTAGTGGTGGTGGTGATGATGATGGTAACGCTGATGCAGATGTTGCTAGCTATGATGCTGCTACTGATGAAGATGAGGAGTATGATGATGTTGATGATGCTGATAACGACGATGATGATGCTGATGGTGGTGGTGATGATGATGGATGACGGATGATTAATGGTGATTGTGACAAAGACGATCATGATGACGATGTTGATGATGGTGATGATGATGGCGATGTTGCTGCTGCTGATGATGTTAACGGCGATGAGGATGATGATGACCTTTGCGATGGTGATGTTGATGGTGAACTATAAGGGTAATAATATCAATAATGATGGTGATCGTGATGGTGCTGCTGCTGCTGCTGCTGCTGCTGATGATGATGATGATGATGATGATGAATCATGATGATGATTGTGGTGGTGGTGGTGATTATGATGATGTTGATAATGATGATGACGCTGCTGCTGCTGATGATGATGAGGATGATGATGAGGAGGATGATGATAGTGGTAGTGGTGATGAGGAGAAGGATGGGATGAGGAGGCGAATGAGCAGGAGTGAAGCGAGTCAGCTTGACCGAGTCAACGGGACAAGTCCGCCACTGCCCTCCCTTCGCTCAACATGATAACCAGTGCAGGGCGTACACTGTGAGGAGTTTGTGTGTGAGAGAGAGGGTACATGTATGCTGTGAGGGTCCGCCTCCCGTTTTCCATATCTTTCCTCTTCCCCTCCTGAGGGGGACAAGGAGGATACAGAGAAAGAGGAGGGGGAGGCTCAAGAGGAGGAGGAGGAGGAGGAGGAGGAGGAGGAGGAGGAGAAGGAGGAGGTTGCGGAAGAAGAAATAAGGGAGGAAGAGCAAGGGCCTCCTCATTCCTCGTCGCGTCTTCCTCCCCAGCCTGGCTCTTCTCCCCGTCCTCGTTCCCCTTCTCCTCCCCCCTGGCCCGCAGACGACCAAGCTGAAGAACCTCCAGGACGTGGGCGACCTGATCCAGAGCAAGCTCTGAGATGCCCGGGGGCTTCTCTTTATCGGCCTCCGCCTGCGCAGGGGTGGGCCTTCGAGCAGGGAAGGCTGAGGAGGAAGTGGGGAAATTGGGTGGAGGGAGGAGGAGGAGGAGGAGGAGGAGGAGGAGGAGGAGGAGGAGGAAGGTGGAGGAGGAGTAGGAGCAGGAGGAGGCAGGGAGGATGATAAGGGTGAGTTCTGCCTCCGGCCCGCACCGCCTGTCGCCAGCCGTTTTCCCGCTTCCCTCCCTCCCTCCCCGTTCCCTTCCGGTGCAGGGCCATGGCGGGGAGAGTCCACCTCAGTGGCCTGGCGGAGGAGCATGAGTGTCGCAATGGGGTTCCCCTTCTAGGATGGGGGGCTTTGGTGTTATCACTCGTGCAGAAGGTCGTGTTTCTGGAGTCCATTCTCGGAAGTCCCCTGTCTTGCCTTGACGTGGTCAGCTTGGGAAGGCCCTTGGGACAGTCACGCCCCTCCCTCGTGCGTTCTTCCCTCCGCCCCCCCCTCCATCATCCCTCCGCCCCGCTCCCCGCGGGGAGGCGCAGCACAGCGGCGGCACTGGCGTTAAATCGGGCCTGTCCCTCCACAGAAGGAACATTCAAAAAGGGACGATGTGTTTTGAGTATGTTTGGGGCATCCTTTGAGCACTTTTTGGGGTATTTTTTATGTCTCCTCCGAAATCCCCCTGTTGGGGGGACAGGCCCGACCTACAGTCGGGGCCCTGAAGAAGGAACCAATTTCGTTGGGGAGGGGCTCCGTGTTCCTTAAGTGTTTCACAGTTTGCCTCAGGTTCTCCTCATGTCTTTGATCGGAAATCGAAGCTTAGCTTGTGGAAAAAAGGGGCTCGTTCCTTATTTAGGGTTCCTTAGGTCAACGCCCCGACTGTAACACCGGCGGGAGGAGGCGGCGCGGGGCCGCCGCAGGCGGAGGCCGAGGGCGTGCAGCGAAGGACCCGGCCAAAGCCGTTTGTGCCGCGCGGCTGGCCGAGGCCGCTGCCGGGAGGCCGGCCGCCCCGAGCGGCGGGCCGCCGTTTTTCAAGCAGTGGCGCAGCGGCCCGGCTCGCCTCCAGGCCCATCATCGACTAGACGTAAGAGTGACTTCTAAAACAGGGCCAGGATCGGGATAAGTCGATCCAGAGCGCTCTCAGAGCGTTCCGGAACGCTCTGGAGCGGCCGCGGCGCCCAATACATCCTCCAAACCCGCCGATTCTCAGAGATTTCGAGTTATCCCGATCCGATTTTGTCCCGATCTTCGCGTCGTTTTAACCTTTCGCCGGAGTGACCTTTGGTGCGGGCCCAGTGGGGCCCCCCAATCGCCGAACGCGATGCGATAGTAGCGTCTTGCGCGCCCGTGTTCGGTCCCCCCGCGGCCCCCGAGAAGCCGCGCACCACCAGAGGTCACTCTTACCCCAGGGTCACTCCTGCGTGTAGCCGACACCAGAGAATCGGGGTCGGCAAAGAGGGGGGTGATGACTAGGGGGGGGGATATCATACCGTGGGCCATGATATTTCCCCAGATGTCATGGCGCCTCTGCTTATTTCATTACATTCCCAGCCCCCCTCCCCGCGGGCCACGCACATGCCGCCGGTCATGATTTGCACCCCCCCCTCTTGGACACCCCCCTCTTGGCCGCTCCCGAAAGCAGTGGCGCAGCGGCCTGGCTCGCCTCTGGGCCCACCAGAGGATGTGCTGAGAACCTTGTGTGGTCTGCACGGAGAGCGTTCTTCAGGGCGCTTCTGGTTGAGATGGCCGTGTGTCATAAACGCATCGGGTGCATGTCCTGGGAACTTTGCGCTTGTTCTTGGAGCAACTGCTGGGCTCTGAGAGCATGTCGTGGTAGGCCCAGAGGGATGCTGGGACGGTCGGCCCCTGCTCAAGTTTTGACGGACAGAGCCCCGAGGCGGGGGTGTGCCCATGGCCACGGCCCGGGGGATCGCTCTTCTGGGACTCCGGCAGGCAGTGACCGTGTGCACAGGTTCGTGCGCCCCCCCCCGCGGCCGAGCACGTGTCCATGTCCACCGCCCGCTCGGGCTCCAGGGCGCCAGCTCCACGGGCGGCGGGCAGGGATGCACCTCCGCCCCGCAGGCGCCGGTGAGGCCCCAGGCCTGCGCACAGGCGGCCCTCCCCGCGCAGTCCCGGCCAGCCCCGGCAGGCGCCCCGAGCAGCCCCAGCTGGCCTCAAGAGAGGCGCCCCCGCGCGGCCCGCGACGGCCTCAACCCCCTGGCGCTGCCTCCGGCGGCGCCCGCTGGAGCGCTCCGCGCCCCCTGGGGTCGAGGTGCTGGGACCCTCCTGGATTACTCGGGGGGGGGGGAGGAGGAGGAGGAGGAGGAGGAGGAGGAGGAGGAGGAGGAGGAGGAGGAGGAGGAGGAGGAGGAGGAGGAGGAGGAGGATGCTCGAGGGGGCTGTCTGTGCGCAGCCCGACGCCTTACCAGGCAGAGCCCGACTGGCCGAGAGGCAGACTCGGCAGAACAATGACCGCCGTGCGTCCGACCATGGGCCCAGGAAGAGCTCCCGCGCGCCAGTCCCCATCCTGACGTGCCGCTTCGGCTCTTCCACTTTTTGCTTCTGCTTCTGCTGCTGCTTCTGCTGCTGCTGCTGCTGCTGCTGCTGCTGCTGCTGCTGCTCGCCGCCACCGCCGCCGCCGCCATCGTCGTCGTCGTCGTCGTCGTCGTCGTCGTCGTCGTCGTGGCGGTGGTGGTGGTGGTGGTGGTGGTCGTCGTCGTCGTCGTCGTCCTGCTTCATGCTCGCCGCCGCCGTCGACGTCGTCCTCCTGGCGGGGGGGCGAGAGGTCCGCCCACGCGCGCTGGCGCGAACGCTGGATGAGAGCATCTCCCTTTCCGTCGCGAGAGCGCGCGGGATGAGTCCATCTCCCGCCCTGGGACCTCCCCCTCGAGCATCCTCCTCCTCCTCCTCCTCCTCCTCCTCCTCCTCTTCCTCCTCCTCCTCCTCCGCCTCCTCCTTCTCCTCCTCCGCCTCCTCCTACTCTCTTCTCCTCCTCCTCCTCCTCCTCCTCCTCACCCTCCCCCCCTCCTCCTCTTCCTCCTCCTCCTCCTCCTCCTTGTCCTCCCCCTCCTCCTCCTCCTCCTCCTTCTGCTCCTCCTCCTCCTCCTTCTGCTCCTCCTCCTCCTCCGTAGCCATTTTGGCTCAAGGCTCAAGACAGCTTGGCTCAAGACAGCTTGGCGCTCTTTCGGACATCATGGTATTGAAGTGTTCTCTGAATACGGTCCTTCCTTGTGACGCCAGCGAGTGGCGACCTTGCGGACCAGATATCGCGCTCAGCATATCACGATCCAAGGCTCGCGAACTTCGGGACAGGCGTGTCGCTAACAGGAAAGCCTTTCGAATGACAGACGATTTCAAGCAGCGCGTTTCATTTGTACACTCAGCAGTCGGAGCCGTCGGAGATCACATTGCGATGGCATCACCTGCGCACTTATTCTGGCCTCGCGGCCAAGTTGGATGTATTGGAACAGCGGATGGCAACAGTTCACTATATGGTCGAACCTTTTGTAGTAAGTATTTCTGTACATCCATATGCGTCGGCACATGGGCATGACATGTCACCGATGGGAGCGTGGGAACCTATCTCGGAAACGCTCTCAGCAACCAAGACGTCAACCGATAACCAGAGAGCTGCTACGCAAAGCGCAGCTGCATGGAAGGGTGTTGTCCAGCGCAAGAAAATTGAATCGCTTCGCTCATTCCGCCGGCCCGTGATATGGCATCGCTGGTTTTTGTCTGTGTGTTCGTTGCCCATGTTGCGCTCTTGGGGGCGGGTGTCGTTCGGACGCGTTGCGTGGGGAGTTTTGATGGTGAAGCAGTTCCCTGGGGGTCGTCTCTCGATGGGGCGAAATAGAGTCGTCGTCAAGATGCTTCTTTGGGGGCCTCTTGGGGTCTGTTGAGAGGCCGTTCGGGGGCGCCTGGGAGACATGTTTGAAGCCTTCTGGGGCTTCTTTTGGGCCTCCTGGGAGTCTCCTGGGGCCTCTTGGCGACATCTTGGGGCCTCTTGGAGGCCTCTTGGGGCCTCTTTGGGACCTCCTGGCGCCTTCTGGGACGGAGGGCTCCATTTTTGAGTTCTCGGTATCCCTCCTGAGTCCCTCTTGGGCCCGTCTTGGGGCCTCTTGGTCCGTCTTGGGCGGCACTTGGGCCGTCTTGAGGGCTCTCTTGGGTCGTTTCGGCGCCGTCTTGGGAGCTTCGTGGCCGTCTTGGAGCGGTCTTGGGGGCCTCTTGGGCCGTCTTGGAGCGTCCGGAAGCCGAAAAAGCCAGAACACAAAAAACATCGAAAAAACCAATGATAAATCAACGATTTTGGCCTCTTGGGGCTCTCTTCGGAGGCCTCTGGAAGCTCTTGGGGCGTCTTGGAGGCCTCTGGGCTGTCTTGGGGGCCTTTTGGGCAGTCTTGGGGTCATCTTCGGCGTCTTCGAGCGCTCTTTGGGCGTCTCGGGGGCCTCTTGGGCAGTCTTGGGGGCCTCTTGGGGCACTCTGAGCGCGCTCTGGGGAGCCTGAGAGGCCGCACCCAGAAGGAAAAACTATCTCTGAGTAGACTTGGTCGGGCGGCGGTCGGGCGGCGACCGGGCGTTGGTCGGGGTACTTTTCGCCAGGGGACCCCCAGGGGCCGCCCCGCGCGCGCGAACTAGAAATACTGCAGGGTTTGACGGCTGCTCGCATAGATCTTGGCGAGTTACGTCGACTAAGCGCCCAAGTTCAAGGTTTGAAGCAAGCTCATGATGCTGAGCCTGCCTCGCCACCCTTCGGCAATCCAGTACGCAGAAGCATTTACAAGGAGTGCGCGTCATTGGTGAAGGAGCATTTTGGCAGCCAGTTTATCAAGTACGCCGACGACCACAAAACGGCTTTGACCGGGGAGCAGTCTGAGAACGAATCTGATCCGATGCAGAGGTCGGCCACATGGAAGGTATTATGCAAATGATGGATCGTAACGGAGCGGGAGATCCATGATCAACACCTGACTCTTTTCTGGGGTTGGCACGTCTGGTGTGTGATCTCCGGCGCGCGCCTGGGCGAATCCAGAGGTTCGTCAAGCACCGAGCTCTCGGCGCTCCGGCGCCCCCGCCGCAACTCCTAGTGGGCCGTCCTCCGGGACGCGTGTCGGCGCCTCGCCTCGCCTCCGCCTCCGCCTCCTCCTCCTCCTCCTCCTCCTCCTCCTTCTCCCTCCTCCTCCTCCTCCTCCTCCTCGTCCTCCTCCTCCTCCTCTTCCTCCTCCGCCTCCTCCTCCTCGTCCTCCTCCTCCTCCTCCTCCTCCTCCTCCTCCTCCTCCTCCTCCCCCATCCAGCTCCCATCAGCGAGGCCTCTACCCCGTTAGCAGCGGGATCGTTGGATGATAACGCCTCCCACACCGTCCTCGTCCGGGTGGGGACGCCAAATCAGAGCAACCTCCGCTCTGCCAGTCTTCCTTTTTTTTTCTCTCCTTTGCGCGAGGCCCCTCGAGGGCTGTCTGGTTGCGCCCCCCGGCAAGCCTCTTTCCCCGGGCTGGTGGTGGGTGTCCTGGCCGCGCCGTTCTCACGCTGCGTTGCCCCAGGTCGAGCTTGTGGCGAGGAGGCCCACTTCCTCGTCCGCGCTCCTCTCCGTTCGCTCCTGGCCGCCTGTCCAGTACGTAGCCTCGCGTCCCGCAGCTTTCACCCAGCACCGGGTGCATTGCTTTCTCTGCCTGGCTTCTCTATGTAGCCTTCGCCGGCAGGTCCCACGCAGCTGGCGATTGCGCCTTTGTGGTGGTGCCCCGTCGATGCCAAGCATGACAATTTCTCCTCCTGCGCCTCCTCCGCCTTCTCCGCCTCCGCCTACTTCCTGCTCCTGCTCCTCCTCCTCCTCCTCCTCCGCCTCCTCCTCGTCCTCCTCTACTGTTGCTCCTCCTCCTCCTCCTCCTCCGCGGCTGGCGCAGCTGCCCCGGGAGCCAGGAGCTTGACGACATCAGCACCGCAGACCTCAAGTTCCTGCTGGTGCCCTTCCTGTTGGCACAGGTCGGGTCATGCATGGGCTCTCCGGGAGGGCCCCCCTCCTCTCCTCTCCCTCCTCCTCCTTCTCCTCCTCCTCATCCTCCTCCTCTGCCTCCTCTTCCTCCTCCTCCTGCGCCTCCTCCTCGTCCTCCTCCTCCTCGTCCTCGTCCTCGTCCTCCTCCTCCTCCTCCTCCTCTTCCTCCTCCTCCTCCTCCTCCTCCTCCTCCTCTCCTCTCCTCCTCTCCTCCTCCTCCTCTCCTCCTCCTCCCCTCCTCCTCCTCCTCCTCCTCCTCTTCCTCCTCCTCTTCCTCCTCCTCCTCCTCCTCCTCCTCCTCCTCCTCCTCCTCCTCCTCCTCCTCCTCCTCCTCCTCCCCCTCCCCGTACCCCTCCCCCTCCCCCTCTCTCCCTCCGTGAGATCTGGACGCTACATTGTTTTCACGCCGGGCGTTTTCGCCAGGTCTCGGGCCCTGGGACCATCACAGATCCATGCGGCTCGAAGCATGCTGCGGATAGACGGCGTTCGGGGCTCCGGCCGCGATGTTTCCACTGTGCTGCAGTTTTTGTCGCAACGTCGGATCTGACGGCTCCCCTCCTCCTCCTCCTCCTCCTCCTCCTCCTCCTCCTCCTCCTCCTCCTCCTCCTCCTACTGCAAAGCACGGCGGCTATTCTTGCATCAACGTGCAGACTTACGCGAAGGAAAGTGGGATGCCTCCCCTGAGGAGGCCCAACACATAGACAACGAGCTGAAGCGCATCTCTCAAGAACAACGTCTCGTACGACGAAAAGCCTCTCGTGCCCTTCAATCTCAGCTGGTGGCGGAAGCAACGGACTTATGGAATCACCAGAAGCAGGCGGAAGCAATGAGAGTGGCACGAAGAGCTGCACGCACTCGTATAGGACCCAAGAAACGCGATGGTCTTCTGGTTCGAACAGCAGCACCCACTTCACAGGCATGGTTAGATGTGTGGTCTTTCGAAGGTTCTCAGGGCGGGATGGCTGTTCAACCCCAGGATTGGCTTGAATGGCGTGCAGAACGTGATGGTCAGCAGTATTGGTGGGAGTCGTCTGAGGAGATTATTGACCTGTGTGAAGAAGATGTTGATCGAATTATTCGATGGATGCGACACGCAGCTAAACGACGAGCAGTTCCAGACTTCACGGCACCATTAGAGCTCTGGCTGATGCTGTTCCTCCCAAAGAAGGCTCTCAAACAGCGCCGTGGCCAGGGCGTAGGATCCGACATGAGTGTGCCGAAAAACTCAAGCTTCAGATTTCTGGTAGAAGTGGGCTTGGCGAAGATCAGGATGCACAACATCAGCCCCCTCTACTGGCATCGGACAGAAGGAGCAGGCCTACGTAAATCTAATCTAGCAGGTCCCCGAGGTCGCCGAGTGGTGCATGTGATGGCAGCTATTGGGAAGGCGTGCTACTCGAATTTGCTCAGACCCCCAGCGACGGTCCAGGACCACGGCTACTACCGACACCGTCGACGAGAGGACGCAGTCATGGGGGCTCTGATCACATCATGGCGTCTACGAGCTCAAGGCATCACGCACGCCATGACGCTCAAGGACATGTCTAACACGTTCGGCAGCTCTCTATGGGACCAGCTGGACACAACCGTACTTCTTCACTCTCGTGAGTGTGATCGCGCACTTTGCCAACAAAGATATAAGAATGCTATTATTTCGCTGGACGCGCTTGAGGGCCCTCTCACAGTTCGACCTTCACAGGGGAACACGATGGGGGATCCTTTTGCTGTCCGAGCCTTCGTGGGTACATTCGCACGCCCAATTTTGTCCTGGAGGCATGGAGAGTCCCAAGCTGATGCTCAGTCAAAGAGATTGCGTGCATCTTGGCAGGGACTCCAGGCCGACCTTAGCACGTACAAGTTTGCTGACGATATCAACAGTTTTGCCCTGGCGGACCCGCAGATGTCGCTGAGAGATTTCACAGCAAAGATTGAGACGGTCGACGCCAGACTTGACTCCTATCTTTTTGATTTTGGTTACGGCCAGAACGGCACCAAGCAAGAGTACCTTATGTTTTTCGCTGCATGTGGCTAGCAGCGTCGCCAGTTGCTCCGCCAAGACCCCTCTCTCCTCCAGGGCTCCGTTCGGGAAGAAGCTAGATATCTTGGGCCTGATTTGCAGCTTAGCGCTTCGGCTAGATCTGAGATCTCCAGGAGGTGCTCGGCGGCTCGCTCGGGCTTTTTCTCCTTGGGCAGGGCGTGGAGTCTTGGGATCCCGAAAAGATGGAAACGTAGCCTCTTCATCGGGTTCGTTCAGAACGCTTTACTAAGTCGACTAGAAAGTTTCGTGGTCACGGAGGCGGACACTACGATTTTAGATGGCTGCTTGGCTCGCCTGGGGCGTATCGCTATGATGGGGAACGCTACATCCTGGGAGGGCCCGCATGTGAAATCATTATCGACTAAACAGGTACTTGAGTATTGGAAGCTGGTCCCCTCCTCGCTGGAGCTCTTGATTCGCAGAGTTAAGCTGTATCAGTCGTGGAGTGCGCACCCTGAGGAACATGCTCAGATTTTGTGCGCATTATTTGGCTCGTCTCCTATCGAATTCATGCGACCTCCAATGTGTGCAGGACGACCTGCATCGAACTCTTCGCATTGGGCAAAACAGGTGGCGTCCGATTTGGATCGTGTCTCCAGGCTGCTCCCTTACGAGAGCGTGCGAGATGTTGCCAATGATTTGCGTCTTCTCACCGATTTGGAGGCCTCAGAGGATTTTCGGAGAGTGGATATGACTGAGCTTCGGAGCCAAGCTTTCTCTGTCTGCATCCCCCCTCCTGGATATGCTCCACCAGTGGTCCCTCCTGAAGAGCCTGGAGATCACGCAGAGGTTGCGTTGCCTTTTGTGTGCCCGATGGGCCTCAATGGGGAGCCCTGTAAGAGCGCCTTCAGTACCCGTAAGCAGCTACTTGAACATCCACGGCATTGTCATCTCCTACGCAACCTACCACATGTATTTACACCTAGCAACGTTTGCATCCACTGTTTGCAGACCTTTGCAACGCAAGTTACTGCCGCCCGTCACCTACTTCGATCACTACAAAAGGGAAACTGCCTCACATGTGGACCTCGTACACTGGCCCCGATGGTTACCCCGTCGTCCTATGAGTGCCCATGCTGTGACTATGTGGGAGAGGATGCGCTGTCTCTCTGTCGCCATCTCCGAAGCCATCTGCCTGTCCAGATAGCGCCCTTCATATCAACTACTCGTACGATCAGTACCGACCCGCGCGACTTTCATCATGGAAGTCGAGGCTCTCCAGAGACCTGCTTGGTTCAAAAGTGTCGCCTCCCCATGAGCCGATGGCACTCAGCCCGACGCCAAACGCAAGAAGGAGTCGGGCAGCCAGGGTGGTCGCATTCCGTTCGACAAAATCGTCGTGGTCATATGCAAGTTGATTTTAGTCAACAGTCGAGAGCTGGTCGACCTCGGAGCCGCGGTGTACTTGAGGTACGAGTTGGACGCAGGGCAGGGCATGATCGCAGCCGCAGTCGCGGCAGGAGTGGCAGACAACGAGACGAGCGCAGAGATGAAGAAGCGCGCAGACGCTGGCGAGATGGTGGACCACAAAGGACGTCCCGCTCCCCATCTACAAATCTTCATGGCAGTATGGGAGTACGGAGCTACCAAGGCGGTGGCAGAGGACATGCGGGAGTTATGGGACGAGAAGTTGGCGAAGGTTCCGCTGTCAGATATCGCTTCTGCTGTCCAGCACTTCCGCGTTCGGATTCATCGCAGGGTCGAGGGCCAGAAAGACAAGGCAACATTTCTCTTCAAAGTGAATATTCATCACGACCTGGGGGTGGTGATCGGCCCGATGGTGGAAACGTTGGTGGCGGTGGAGGGGGGCCCCTTCCTTTCGGGCGCGGCCCCGTGGGGGCCACTGGAGAGGGGGACCTCGAAGTTCGACCGCAAGGAGTACGTGAGGCGCCCCCCCAGGTAGTGCCAGAGAGGGATAGCAGTGTGCATGACAGTCGTGAAAGGCTAGCTAGTAGATTTCCGATGATGGCCAGTAGTGAGAGGCTAGCATCACTCGTAGCAGCAGGTAGGGTGACGCAGGATCAGATTGCTCGGGCAGTAAGTAGGATCCCAATTTGTCTCCCAGAAGGTATCGCAGTGACAACAGCTCCTGAGATCCCAGTAATTAATATGCCTTCGAATCGAGGCCGTGGTGGCCGACACGTCGGGAGTGGGGGGCGGGGGGCGAGCTCTGGTGGGCGGGGGAATGGACGAGGTCGCCGCGCCTGATGTATGGGCCCCCCCTGAGGGCTGCGTGCCTATCGGGGTGCCCATCGGCCAGTGCAGTCTTTGCTGTGAGCCTGAGAGGGGCTCGCATCGTTAGTCGTCTGGTTTCGAAGGAACCCTCTCAGAGTACAGTCAAGCTTTTTTCGAGCTTCGAGGTCGGGATCTTGACAGGGACTCCATGAGGATCTGCTCTGCTCCTCCTCCTCCTCCCTCCTCCCCCTCCCCTCCTCCTCCTCCTCCTCCTCCTCCTCCTCCTCCTCCTCCTCCTCCTCCTCCTCCTTCCTCCTCCTCCCCCTCCAAGTCGATCCGCGACTTGCCCTCGTGTTCAGTTCATGAGAGTGGGCGCCGCGGCCCCAGCCTCCTGCGGGCTTGCGCCTGCCGGGGCTGGTCCGCCGGTTCTCGCTGCAGGGTGGTCTGCCTCGGCATCGTTCGGACGTGTGTATTTTTTCTCGGCGAGGACCATCGAGGGGCCCTCTGGGTCGAAACAATCAACGCACGGAGCCGAAACACGTGCGCGGGGATTGGAAGTCCGTGCGACTGCGGGTGGCCGATCGGGGTTCTGTCCACCCCCGACCCCCCCCCAAGAGGGGGCCCATTCTGTCAGAACGTATTTTTTGAAGGCAGGTCTGCCTTCACCAAAGCACGCATTTGTTGAAGGCGGATCTGCCTACTTTGCAGTAAGAACGTCTGCTCTTTTGTTGAGGGGCAGATCTGCCTTCAACCAATACGGCTCTCACAGAGCATTCCCTCCCTCCCCTCAGGGGCAACGTCGGGGGGGGGGGACAGGCTCAACGGGAAAGCACCGATCGCTGTCGGGGGCTCATCGCCGATCCCTCGGCAGGGTGTCGCCGATCCCGGGTCGGCGCCGCCGTCCCGGAGCCGGCCCCCCCTCCCCGTCGATCCCCCCTCCCCGCGTCTCGTGCCCTGGCGAAGGAGAACACGTGCCAGGGAGAGCGCGAGCCAGGGGAAGCAGGAGGCACGCTTTTGGCGCGTCTCGTGTCTTCCTCGGCGCGTGCTTGGCGTGTCGGCCTCCCCACTCTCTCGCACACGCATTTGGCGTGCCTGCCCACGCGAGCGGGCGGACGCAGGGCTGGGTGGTGGTGGGTGGTCTTCCCTTCATCGGCCTCGTCCTGGTGATCCACCTGGGTGCTTGCTGGCTCGCTTCCCCTCCGCCCCTCGTTCCTCCTCCTCCTCCTCCTCCTCCTCCTCCTGCTCCTCCTCTTCCTCCTCCTCCTCCTCCTCCTCCTCCTCCTCCTCGGCCTCCGCCTCCTCCTTATTCTCCGCTTCGTCCCGGGACCAACGGCGAACCCGAGCCCTGCGGGTCCGGGCCACGCTTGGGTATCGGACATTCTTGCTGGGGTGCACCTGGCTGCAAAGCCGGTCCTGGGGAAATATTCGAACCTCCTTTTTTGTCGGGGAAGCGTAAGACTCGAGTAAGCCGGGACTCGGGTTTGCCGACGTTTTTTGACGAGCGCGTCCTGGATTTTGACGGTCCCGTTTTCGTGGGATGTTCGCAGTGGGAGTTCGGGTCAAATTTCAGATTGGGTCTCGCCATGTTCACGATGGCCACGTCAAGCCAACCCGAGTGCCCCGTACCCTAGTCTGACGCCTCCCCGGTTTTTGTCGGCGCGCACATGGCGGTAGAGTTAAGTCGGGCCTGTCCCTCTACAGGGGGAATATTCCAAAATAGCCAAAAACTAGTATGGGGACTTTTTTTTGCTATGTTTGAGCATTTTGGGCATATGTTTGGGGTATTCTTTATTTTTCGCCCAGAATCCCCCTGTAAGGAGGACGGGCCCGACGTCATGGCAGAGGGAGGGCGGGAGGCTTCCAAGAGGCGCCCGTGCTCCCTGGAGGGCGCGGGCCCTCTGTCCGCAGACGCGGGGCCGGCGCCGTCTGAGGGGCGGCCTCCTTCGAAGGAGCCCTCCCCCCTCCCCCCGTGTAGGGGGACTGGGGTTCCCTGGGTTCCCTGGGGACTGGTCTCCTCCCAAGGCGACGAAAAGCCTCCCGACATTCGTCTCCGGATAGGGGGCCGGTTTCCTCCCAGAGTGAGGTAGTCTTAGAGTAGGGGGACAACAAGTGGCATAAACATCAAAACTCTGAGGTCCGCGCGGATTTCTCGGATCGGCGCTGGACCCCCCTCCCTGGCGCGCGGAGCGCGCCAGGGGCGGCGCTGGAGGCGCCGCCGGGAAGGCCCAGCGCCGATCCGAGAAATCCGCGCGGACCTCCGAGTTTTTATGTTTATGCCACTGTTTGTTCCTCTATTATGATGTGCCAACCATAGCGTCATTGTTCATCTTGTTTTTTTGTTCCTCTTCTTATTCCTCTATTATCTCACTTATTTGTTCCTCTATCTATAGCCTGGACCACCAGAAGGAATCTCGAGCGACAGAAAAAGGTACCGAAACTCGATGGTTTTCGCGTGTCGGGCCTTGGGGGACGCTTGTTCGACGCGCTGGCTCGACAACAGTTCTGGGGTGTGGTCCTCAAGTACGGTGGGAGCAACATAGCCCTCCCCTCCTCCTCCTCCTCCTCCTCCTCCTCCTCCTCCTCTTCCTCCTCCTCCCCCTCCTCCTCCTCCCTCCCCCTCCTCCTCCTCCTCCTCCTACCTCCTCCTCCTCCTCCCCTCCTCCTCTCTCCTCCTCCTCCTCCTCCTCCTCCTCCTCCTCCTCCTCCTCCTCCTCCTCCTCCTCCTCCCCCTCCTCCTCATCCTCCTCCTCGTCCTCCTCCTCCTCATCCTCCTCCCCCTGCCCTCTTGTGTCGGGGGTGGACAGACCTCCTGCCCTGACACGTCGATTCAGGAACTGGCCATGTTCGGTCCGGGAGACGGCGTCGCGGCCGTCATTTCTGCGGGTCCAGGTCCGCCGGTTTCTGTCCCAGGTCGTTTTCACGAAAGGGAGGTTTGCTAAAGGGAGGTTTGTCCACCGCGGACTGTGCGCGCCGCCAGACGTGGGTGTTTTTTATTCATTGTTTTGCCGATCGGCGCCATGCCTAGCACCCCCTGCCCTCTTGTGCGCGCCGCCAAAAGTCAAGCAGTAGCAACGCGTCCAGGCTCGCCTGTAGCCCTACCAAACAATGTTCGAAGAACCTTGTGTGGTTTCCACGAAATGATCTTAGAACATGTATGGTTGATATTGTCTTGTTTTGACACATGTCGGGTTTATGTTCTGAGAACCTGGGTTCTAAGAACATTTCGTGGTAGGACTATAGGAATGCCGGGACGGTCGGTCCCTGCTCAAACAAGGTGAGCGTTTTTTATGCATTGTTTTGCCGATCGGCGCCATCCCTTGCACCCCCCCCTTCCCCCCCTCTGGAGTAGATCTTGGCTGTTTTTGGCGCTCGTTTCGAGCAGGTGGGGTCCCTCCCCCATCGGCCGCACTGCTGCAAGCAGTCGCACTAAGAAGAGGTCTGGCGCCAGACCCCCTTCCTCCCCTCTTTCCGCCCAGCGTTGAAACTCCGATTCAAAAACACGCTCACTTCTTGTCGGCGCGCACCAGGTGGTTGAGGGAGGGGGGGAGGCTTCCAAGAGACGCCCGTGCTGCTTAGAAAGCGCGGGCCTCTGTCTGCAGATGTGAGGCCAGCGCCTTCTGAGGAGCGGCCTCCTCCTAAGAAGCATTCCCCCCTCCCCCTGCCCTCTTTGTACGCGCCGCCAGAGATCTCGCAGGATCCTGCACAGCCAGGGTGGCCCGGGCTTGCGCGCAGGACGTTGCAGGATCTTGCGGGGTCCTGCAAGGCTTGACTGGCCAGGGTTTGTATTGACCCTGGTCAGTACAGTCGGTGCCCTGAAGAAGGAACCCTTTTCGTTGGGGAGGGGCTCCATGTTCCTTGATTGCTTCACAGTTTGCCTTGGGTTTTCCTTTAGTTTCCGAAGGGAAATCGAAGTTCAACTTCTGGAGAAAAGGGGCCTCGTTCCTTATTTAGGGTTCCTTCGGTCAGCGCCCCGACTGTAGATGCCCGACCACGGCACCCCCACGGAGCAGGTCGAGAAGTCCTCCCCCCCTCTGCGCGCGGTGCCGCGGGGGGCGCTCGGGCTCCGTGGGCCCCGGAAAAACGGCTTCGGGATGGCCGGGGAGCAGTTTTCGAGAGGCCGTTTCTGGACCCCGAGCGCGGCTACTCGGGAGGGAAAGAAACACACAGGCACAATGAATCCTCGATTCCCCTGAAAATAGGGGAAGATTTTGGGAGGTGGGGGGGAAGACAAAGACCCCAAACATATTGGAAACTATGGGGAATCTTTTTATTTGTGTGTGTTTATGTGTGTGTCCCTGGGCCCCTTCAGTTACAGAGACAAGAGGCCCCCGAAAACGGGACGAACAGCTGCGCCGGGATTGGCTCTGGAACATTGGGAAACGCACGGCAGGAACCGGCAACAGAATTGGCAAAGCGGATCCGGTAAAAAACATTGTTGTGCCGTTTCCAGGGCCCGCTTAAGGGTTGAGGTTAGTTCCAGGCGCATAGCAGCGGCATGCTCGCACCGTCGGTGGTTCCGTATTGGTGTCTGCTCCCCCCTCATCAGCTCCCTCTGCCATTGACGCTCCCCCGCCATTATCCTCCTCCTCCTCCTCCTCCTCCTCCTCCTCCTCCTCCTCCTCCTCCTCCTCCATAGGTCCTCCTGCTACTTTCCTTCGTCTCCTCCTCTTCCTCCTCTTCTTCCTCCTCCCTCCTCCCCCCCCTCCCCAGCCCAACCTCCATTCTCATGCCGTCAATGTTGGCTCGACGTCCTGCGGAGTCATCGTCGGCGTCCTACTTATACCTGTCGCCATCATCCTGGTCTCCGTCCCCTTCTCCTCTCCCCCATCCCCTCTCTACCCCGGCTGCTCGCTCTCATCCCGTCCCTCCCGTCCTCCTACTCCTTATCTTGCTCCCCCACCCTCACAGAACAGCCACGAGCCACGATTGGGGAAGCTGGGGCCCCTACCCCCCGGGGAGCCCAACGGTTTCGGCACCCTTCGGCACGGTGGGTTCCCCAAGCGGCGCGAGGAGCACAGCTCCCCCAGCTGAGGGTGGTCGGCCTCGTTGCCCTCCTCGCCCCCCCGCCCCCCCCCCCTCTGGGGAGGTGCGTGGCGCTTCGCCGTGCCTGCGTCTCTCTGCGGGATCCCGAGAGCTGGCGGGCGGCAGGTCACCTCGGCGACGCGGGACCTGTCCAGGAGGTGCGCCGTCTTGCTCCAGCATAGCTGCTGCTCGCTCGTGTTCTCTGTCTGTCTGTCGGTCGGTCGGTCGGTCCGTCTGCTTGTCGGTCTGTCGGTCTGCCTGTCTGTCTGTCTGTCTGTCTGCCTGCCTGCCTGCCTGTCTGTCTGTCTGTGTCTGTGTCTGTCTGCCTGTCTCTCTCTCTCTCTCTCTCTCTCTCTTTCTCTCTCTCTCTATATATGTATTTATATGTGTATATATATATATACTCTCCCTCTCTTTCTCTCTCTCTCTCTCTCTTTTCTGTCACTCTCGAGATGTCTAGCTCTCTGGCTCTCTGTCTTTCTCTTAACCTCTCTATTTTTGCCTTCTCGAGTCGGTGTTACAGCGAATCACCGCCGCCCCCTGCCTTTTCATTGCCAAACGTTTGGGTAAAGTTCGGCCACGCTATTGGACCACGCGTTCCCCCAGCCGTTGTGCCTTGTGGAAACCCTTCGGGGAACACGTGGAGGAGTACGAGGAGGATGAGGAGAGGGAGGAAACAGGAGGATAAGGAGAAGATGAGGAGACATCTTGGGAGCCTCGTGGGTCATTATTGGGGCCTTCTGGGAGCTTCCTGGGGGCCTCCTCGAGGCCTCTTGAGCGCCTCCTTGGTCTTGGAGGCCTTCGGGTGCTCTGGGGGCATCTTCGGCTGGCCCGTCTGATGCAGTTGGGTCTGACGGTCTGACGCAGTTGGAAGTCGTTTTGAGAGCCTCTCTGGGCTGTCTTGGGTCGTCGTGAAGGCCATCGTGGGCGTCTTGGAGGTCTCTTGGGCCGTCTCGAGGCCCATTTCGGGGCCGTCTTCGGAGCCTCTTGGGCCGTCCTGGGGCCATCTTGGAGGAATCTTGGGCGCTCTTGCGGCGTCTTGGGCCGTCGGAAGGCCGAAACGGAGCAAAAGTCACAATCCTTCAAGATTTTGGCTTCGTCGATTCCTGGAAGACCTTTTGAAGACCTCTTGGGCCGTCTTGGAGGCCTCTTGGGATCCTCTCGGGCCGTCTTGGGCCAGAGCCACTTTTGGGCCGTCTTGTCGGCTTCTCGAGCGGAAGTCGAGGCATCTGGGAATCTGGGACCTTCTTGGGCCGTCTTGGAGGCGCTCTTGGACCTTTTCGGGCGAACTTGAAGGGAGCCATCTTGGGCGGAAAAAACCGTGCCTCCCACCACTGGGCAAGCTTTCTGGGTGGCCGGCGGCGTCAGCCGAAGCCCTGGGAGGAGTTTTTTCTCGGAAGACTTCAGAACCAAAACGGCCCGAACTTTAGCACGCCAGACACCCCTGTGACAAATCAAGTTGGCGGAGCCTAATGGCCTTCGGCCCATCCCGCCACTGTTCGGGGGCGGAAAAGAGGGGGGTGATGTCAGGGGGGGGTGGATATCATGGCGGGGGCCATGATATTTCCCCAGATTTTATGGCGCCTCTTCTTATTTCATTACGTCCCTGGCCCCCCCGCTGGGCCGCGCACATGCCGCCGGTCATGATTTGCACCCCCCCCTCTTGGACACCCCCCTCCTGGCCGCTCCCGAAGTGTGCCTGGGTTCAGATATCGCGAGAGGTCTCTCGGGGGCCTCGCGGACGCAGTTGGGAGGCCTTGTGGAGCTCGTTTTGGGGCCTCCTGGGGCGTCTCGGGGGCCTCTTCGGGGGCCTCTTCGGGGCCTCGTGGGCCTCTTGGGTGCCTCTTGGGCCTTCCCGGGGGGGAAGACTCGGACTTTCGGCTCTTGTTCCCCCCTCTTGGGCCCCCTTCGGGGCTGCCTTTGGGCCGCCCTGGGCGCCTTTTTTGCCGTCTTGGAGCCCTCTTGGGCCGTCTTGGGACCCTCTTGCCAGGTTCAGACCCTTATGCGCGACATCGACAGAGATGTCATGTCGGCTGTCTTGGGACTGTCGTGGGGGCCTCTTGTGCCGTCTTGGAGCGTCGGATTTTCGAGAAGTAAATGACCCCACCATGATTTAACAATCTACAAAGTATCAATGATGTTGGTCTCTCGGGGCCCTGTTGGGAAGATTCTTGGGGCTCTCTTTGGACGGATCGACGGCTTCGGGCCATCTTGGAGCCACTTTGAGCGCCTTGGACCGATCGTGTAGCGATTCGGTGCACCCGTGGACCGTCTTGGGGCCTTCTTGGCTCCCAACAAGTACTGCGGGAGCACACGCGGGAAGCCACAGGAGATTTGAGACTTTGGGCCCAGGCCCCTTCAAGAATCCTCAGGATTGAAGACTGGGGCGCAGGGGTTGAGCAAGGGTTGAGCAAGGGAACTGGAGACACTCCACCTCGCGCCACAGGGGCGCGGTGGCGGACATGGCTGCATCTCTCTCGCGCACACCGTTTCGGAGGACGACGGTGTGAAGTGTGGGGGAAGGGCCACGCGGGCAAAAACATGAAGAGCACGAGCTATATCCAGAGCGGGATGAGAGGGATGAGGACCAGAGCGGACTGAGCAGGCGCAAGCGACGCTGCAATACCACCCTCCTGCCTCGAGCTCCCTCCTCCTACGCCCCTGCGGGTCCTTTTTTCCTTTCGCGGCAGCGAGCGCTCCCCTCGAAAGACCAGGCGCCCCTGGGGCCTGCCATTGTGGCCAGGGCCCCGCTTGGGAGAGGACCCGCCCTGCATGTCGGGGCCGGACCTGCACGGCGTTTTGGCGATCTCGTGGGCCGTTCTCCTTTCGACTCCCTTCTTGTGGTACAGGGCGGACTCGAGACAAAAAAGCGAGGGGAAGCGACGACAAAGCGAGAACGAAACGCACCGTTCGGGTGCAGCCCCGTGGCATCTTCCGACGCGCGGAGTCCGGACCGCGACAGGCAGTCGGACAGTGTCCAGCGACGCACCCCCGTGGCACCCACCCCTCCGAGGCAGGACCGCCCCCTCTCCATGCGTGCAGCGGCTGCATCGGCGCGGCGGTCGGTGGACCTCCTTCGGAGGCCTGGATCAGTTGAGCGGAAGATCGGGACAAATCGGAACCAGAGATTCTGGGAGAGTTCCAAGGGAAAAAAAGAACGCCGATTTGTGGAGCGTAGCGCGCGCATTCGCAGAAGTTCCCAAAGAGTGTTCGAGGGCTTGAGGAGCCCAAGTAACACATGGGCGCTCAATTAAACTGTTGAGGGCGGGCAGAAAATCTGGTGTGCACGAGCATTGTGAGCGGGTGCGCGGCTTGCACGGGGGGCACAGTAGGTTTGCGTTTCAGGGACCTGGGCGCTGGCCAATGCGCTGATGGGGGGCCCGAGAATGCGTCACACATATTACGCCTGTGGCGCCATGGAGGCCGCATTTGCGGTTGCAGTTGGGCGGGCGCCCCGCCGCGCGCACCGTGGCGACAGCTCTCTTGGGCGCCCGCCCGCCGCCGTGGACGTAGTGGACCCAGCTAGTCTCTCGGTCGGCGCGCGGCGGGTCGGCAGCCACGACGCTGGCGGCCTGAAAATGCTTCGAAAGTGTTTCTCCCCGAGCCCGGGGCTATTGTACGTTTTCGGTGGCACGCGCAGCTCGGAGAAAAATCGCCTTGTCCGTCGGCGGCCAGTTGGCTGTCGTCGCGCAGAAGTACCGGCGGATGGCGCGGTCCACGCTCAGCGCAGAGAGCGTGTCCATGAGCGTGGACTCGTCGAGGGGCAGGAGGAAGGACCTCGCGGTCGGGACCATCGCGGCCCGCGATGTCCACGGCCCCCACCCTGGGCGCGCGAGGACCTGCTGGGCGCCGCCGCAGCGCGATTTCAGAGGATCTCGGAACCAGAAATCCGGGCGTGCCAAATTTTGCGGGCCGAAAAACTTTCAGAGAGTTTCGGCCAGCTCCGAGGTTTTGGGTTTATGGGAATGTTTCACGCGGGGTGGCTAGTTCAGAGATTTTCAGAGATTCTCAGAGAAGTTCGGACGCGAGAATTTGGCGCGCCCCGGTTTCTGGTCCTGTGAATCTCTGAAAAGCGGTTCCTTAGGTTTTACTGGGTCTCCAGGCGTCCTACTGTCAGCCAGAGACGCGCGACTGGCTGGCGCCGCGCCCGATGCTTCCGGAGCTGCGATCTCGGTCTTCGATTCCCTGGGGCCCGCGGGCCCCTGGGCCAATTGCGAGGTTGCCGAGGCCCCCAGGCGGTTGCGCGCGATTTTCTCGGAAACGGGAGTTGGGCATCCATGGTGGACGCCCGCGCGCACGCGCTAGGTGTCCGCGAGATTGTTCGGTGGCGGATCTTGCATGGCGCGGGGATTTTCCGAAGACTTTCCGGGGTGTTCTCTACGGTTATTTCGGTGCGCTTCGGGAACCTTGGGGCGGCGCGGGGAAGTCGCCTGGCCGCGCGCGTGACTTTTTTCCAATGCCTTCTTGGGCATTATCGCGGCGCTGCTTGGCCGAAGGGGTCACTGAGTAACGCGATTTTTGACATTTTCGTGTTTTCTCGTTGCGTTGGCTGCGTGATTGTTTTGGCGGTCCGCCTCCTTGGGGCCCCCTTTGGGCCTCAAGTTTGTTTTGTTGACGTCGGGCCTTCTGGAGTGAAAGGCGCTTGGCGCTGAATTCCCTCGGTCGTGCGCGTGGCCAAATACGCGCCGTGGCTTCATCCGCGCCGGGGCGCTTTTCTTCCCTCGCGAAGCCGATGGCGCCCAAGGCGTGGCAGGCCCGTTCGGCGGCGCCCCCGGTGATTTGAAAAACCGAACATGATTTTAATCCCGGTCAAATTTTGCCCCGATCCCGGCTTCATCTTACTGGAAATTGGCACCAACACCAAGACAGGGGTCTGCCTCCACAGGGGGAAAGTGATCCTAGATTTTCGGTGTTGGTGGTAATAGTTCGGCCACCTTGGAAGCCAAAATATTACCACCATCGCCGAGATCGGGATCTTCTTCCCTCGGTGGAGGCACACCGCCGAAATTGGTGTTGGTGTCAATCTCTAGGCCTGCGACTCCTGCCCTGACACGCCGACTGGCGAACCGGCCGCTCTCGGTTCGCGAGGGTCGAGAGCTGGGCGAGGGCTGCTGAAAAACCGTGGCTGCTACAGCGGCCCTCCCGGACGGAAAAAAAA